TCATATTCCCTCTTTGACCTTCAGTTCCATCATCAGAAAAGAGAGAGCCGAAATGAGTCATCTCAGAGAAGAAAATGGTGGCGACACCAGGTGAGCATAGGGAAGGCCAGAGTTGTTAAATTCCAGCCTCTACTTTTTATTCCCATATATCTCACCTTATATTGATAATTTTTATATGTGACCCTTCATATGAGGTTTGCTCATTTATCTATTTGAAAGCAGAGAAGTTAGTGTTTCCTGAGGTATTTTGTTTTATCTTTATGTAAGACTGATGGGTTCACATCTTGCTAGGGCTGTGCAGCAATGACTGAACTAGTCTGAAGGAAAGTGGAACACGTGCCTACCTGGCATAGATAATGCGCAAGGATGCATTTGGAAAAGAAATGCAATCTATTATCATCATGAAAACAGGGAAGACAAAGACCTCAGGCATGTGGACTCAGGCCTAGACAATGGTGTTGACTGGAACCTCAGATAGTAGTGCTGGCCAGAGGATGGATAGTTTGATTTACTCTGGTATCCTCCAAATCCAGTATCTTTAAAGTGCCATGCTTAAACCTAATATATGCTCTTCACTATGGAATACTTCTAATTACTGAGCAAATCTCCTGTCTTCCCTATATTATTCATCCAAGATGTCCTTTTCTCCACTCTCAGAACTAGGCCATTAACACAAGAGGCATCATTTTTCTCTCTAACCTTATAATAATTCTGGGGTCTTCCTAAGGCTCTGTGTCCTGGTGAATACAGCCACTCTAGCGAACACTGTGTAAAAGTTATGGCTCCTTCTCCTACAAAGTTGATGGTTATAAATATATACATTCTTGTTAAATTTCTGGTGGCTGGCTAAATGGACTTAAAGAATGAAGAGTTACAAATAGCATTTCATCTAATCATAGTTGAAAGCCCTGCTCCTACACTCAGTGTCTATTACAGGTTAAGTAAATGGAGCCCTGGGTGTCTATTTGATAAATGAGGAATGAGGTTGTACATGTATCATGACCTGTCTTTCCTCAATGAACTGCCACTTAAAACAAGTGTTTTGGGGACAACAAAAAAGCTGCACCAATGTTCAGGGACTATAGAAATTCTAGACAAAGAGAGAAGCAGAGTTGAGCCTCTGCACAAAGGCTCAACAACATGCAGTGGTCCTGGAAATGTTTATTAATGGGTGTTCAAAGCAAGTATTCAATATTCCGTCTTTTTCAGTAGGTCTCAGGCAGATGCCTTGACCGTTCCTATCTTTAAACACACCAACCATTTGTTTTCATATTGTGTTTTCAAGACAAGGAGCTTTGACCCCACTTCTGACTATGGACATATAGTCATATGTGTTAGCAGTCTAACACATCCTGCTGGAGCATATGTTTCACAGGGAAGGAAGAGAGACAGACCTGAAGCAGCTTCGAAATCCTCCCACAAACTTTTCCTCAGCAACTCAGGGGAACACAGTGAAACACTAACAAGTTTCCTAATGAGAAAACAAACGAGTTGCTTAATTGAGCTGGGGAAGCCAGAAGCCAGAGCAAAGGGAATGGCTCCCAGGTGGAAGTCAATGCCCAATTAATGTCCTGGGGCCTCAACTTCAGTAATTATCAGCATTTTCTCATCAGAGATCACCAGCGCAGGAGTGCCCTAGTAGGAAGCTTTGGGGAGGCCCTCGTTGTCTCCTTTTACTTCCTTCAATTAGCCCTAATTAGGATCATGGGAACACAGACCAAGATGTCAAAGTTACTACTTTAGGTTAAGACTTTGTAGGAGTCCCTTCTGCACATACTTTTCCTAAATAATACATTTGTTTCTTGCATCTATACTAGGCAATATGTTGACTTAGACTGACATCTGGGCAGGCCTAAGTCTGAATCCAAACTTTGCCACTAGCTAACTCCAGTATAATGTGAGCCACAGACCTTCCCTGGCCTCGACCTTTTTATTAAAACATGAAAGTGACTTGACTCTGTGACTTTTATGGTGTTTTGAGCTGTAATTCTAAACTGTGATAAATGATATCGAGTGCAAAGTAAGGATGATGAAAACAATCCTAGCTTAATATCAGGGCGCCAGCAACAAAGGAGGGAAATCAAGTTCAGTAAATAGATTGACTCTTGATTACACACACTGTGGGGGGAGGAGGTATACCGTGTGAATCAAGCCAATTAAGCTAATTCTGTGTTCTTTTCTGATCTTTTAGAACATGTGATAAGCTGCCTATATTATGAAAACAAAGCTCACTTCCTTTTATAACAGAAAAAGTTCCAATCATTGCCTATCTTTACACTCCTACTTGTCTGTACATGTATGATTCTCAGGTGCTACTAGAAAGTAAAATCCACAAATGAATATATCACAAAATATTCCATCAAAACCCCTACACTTTAATTCTAATCCCATACTTCATCATTTTAAAAAATTATACACAATTCTCTTATTTTGGGGGGGGGCTCATTTACAACTGAAAATAGTGGCCACGTGGAAGACCAATGGGAAGAGTCTGTAAAATAATTTCAGTGAACATGCAATAAACTGCTGCAGAAATGGAGCCTAACTTTGCTGACATCTATTACTTTATCAGCATACATGAATCTAATTCCAAACACAAGAAATGATTTCTGAATATTAAAAATATTGGGTTAGAGATGAGTTCAATAAATGACTGAAAGCCTAGAGGTCTTCGGGTCTGTGTATTTATTGAGGTCATTAGAAGACATTAAACTATGAAAGAGTCAAGATCTATGACACATCAAAAATACTCATGACTTGTGACATGATCTAGACTCATCTGTAAGCAGAGATTCATATCTCTTCAGGTATATGGACTGCAGTTTGGCCACAGCCAATAGACTAGAATGTGCTAATGCCTTTCCTGGAAGGAAACTCTGCCTGAGGCTGTGACATTCTGTCTAATGCAATCATGCCATGATGAGTTATAGGGAGGGATTATAGCATGGGAAATTACTTCTTAAAGTTTGGGATGGAAAATAAGCTCAATTATTTTTAAGGCCCCGTCTTCTTCACTGTGGCATTTCTCACAGTACTTAAATACAGGTACACAGGTTTTATGTCACTCAAAAAAAAAGGCTCTTTTATATGTTTTACTACAAAAAATGAGTTATCTTTAAATTCTATAATGTTATTTTTGTTTATTTATCATTGTTGTTTATAGGAATTTTAAGTTCATAGAAAATGGTGCCAGGGCCAGACAGACGAGTCAATGAATAAAAATATTTACTCACAAACCTGACTAGCTTAATTAAATATATAGTATATTTATATTGTATATGTATGATATATGAAATAAATATATAAATATGCTGATTCAATAAAGTAGCACAAGAGTTACCATCTGACCTCCACATGAATGGCAGAACATGCATGTATCTGTACACCCACACACACACATACACACACACGAGAGAGAGAGAGAGATTATTGATAGATAAATAGATAGATAGAGATAATTTAAAATGAATGAATGGTGTCCAAATTAAAGTTACCATATATCCTCTGCCCCAATACATGTACCATCTCCCTCACTGTCACCATTTCCAACGAGAGTGAGACATTTGCCACACCCAACAAATATGTGTTTAATACTGATATGTCTTTACCAGTCCAACACATAATTCACATCAGAGTTTTCTCTTCTTTTTGTACATTCTGTGGTTTGGCACAAATGTGTAATACACATGTCTACCATTACATTATCATATGGAACACTTTTACTGATCTATTCTTTAACTTTTTTTCTACCTCCTCCAAGTATATGTAACCCTTGATGTTTTTGTCCTGTGTCTATACATTTACCTTTCTACATTATCAATTGGAACTAGACCTGAAGAAAGAATCTCTCCTCATGATCCAGCAAAAGGCTCAAGTCTACCAGCAAACACAACCCTTCATTTGCATGGGAAAATGAATGGAGCTGTGATTGTAGGAAGAACAGCTTCTCATTTGTATTAAAACACTGTGTCTTGATTGGTGAAGACAGCCATATAGTTGTTTGATGATGTGTTTTGATCACTACAAATTCTCTTTATATATCCATATAAGCAGGAAACAATTTTCCTTTGGAAGTATGTAGAAAAGTCGTTCCTGGTTTAATCTGTGCTATTGCAACATAAAGCTCAATTAGAGGTGTCTCTTAAATGGCCTTTTCTTGGTTTTTGTTTTTCACTGACAGAGTAAGCTGACCTGTTACCAGGTGATGAAGACGGTGATGAAGACAGAGTGGCGGAGGTGACAGTGTTAGTGACAGTGGTGGTTGTGGTGAAGAAGCAGCTGGGAAATCCAGAGATCTTCTGGGGCTGAAATAAGAAGTCAGAGATAAAGACAATGAGGGCTGTATTGAGAGCTGAGGATGTGACACTGGCGACTCTATCAACCAGATGCATCCCAGGCAGCTGTCAATCCTTAAGTGCCAGCAATCCCATCATCCTAGCCAAGGAGCTGTGACACTGGACACCCAAGGCCCCAGGATCATAAAGGCACGGCATGTGTGCTGCTGTCTTTTACCCACTGCTTCCAGAACTTGTTGATGACAAAAGCTTCCAAGTTCAAGGCTGGAAGTTGGTGGTGAAAGCCCAGGTTAACAAGCCTCCGATCTGAAACCTCAGGACCACAGATCTTCGGCTTCAGAAGAGTTAGGAGTTTGTAAGACCCTGGGTATATTAGACTATGTCCTAGGCCATGAGTCCTCTACTACAATGAAAACTCTGTCTCAGCTCTCCCTGATTCCTACCCAGAAAGGGACCTTGACCAGTTAGTTTTAACACTCTGAAATTGGTGCACCCCGTATGTGGGGTTTGTGTCTAGTGACTCGTATACAACTGATTGCTACAAAAGTCACAAGGTTAGGACTTTTGTGAGGGAGTGAATTTCATAAGAAAAGAATGTGAACATACCTAAGCTTTGATTTTTTTTTTACGATAACCACAGTGTTATGGGAAGTAAGTAGTCAGGTTTCCCTAGTCAGGGAAATTGAAAGCTATGAGCAGCACTGGGAGGAGGCCTGACTATTTCTGCACCCCTCTCCCCAGGGAAACAGCACAGTGATTGACATCTATCACTGCTCAAGATATGAAGTGACTTTAACAATGTCACAGTCCCTGGTATCTTGACTACTATCCTACTCTTCAGCTTTTGATTTACTCGTTCATCTATCTACTCAAACCAAACAAGCTCACTTCTTGCCTTGTTAAAGGTCTCAGGATCTGAACATCGTTGCAGAAATTTTCAGGGAGGTGAGTCTGTTTCCTAAACATATGATCAGATATCTCTGTGAAATATAAAAGAACATAGGAAAGAAATCAGAGATTTCTACTTGCCATCTAAGTGCTGAATCTTATACAATTTTATGTTTAAATGATGTATTATTTTTTCTAACTTACACTCCTTTATATGGCCTATTATAAAATCAATACACATATGCAATGTCTAGTAGTATAGTCTGTGAAACAGGCATTTCCATGCCTTCAACAATCAACTGTTGTATGTATTGGGAATTACACATTTTATTTTCTAACTGTGCTGAACTATGTTGTACACTGTTCTGTCCAATAATTGCTCTGTTGTGCTAAATAAGAACAAGAGTTGAGTTGTACTTTCTGTTGTAATGTTGAATTTATTTTTTAATTTCTTTCTATTCCTCCTGCCTCTAGATCTTCCCCATCTCTGGAGACCCATGATTCCACATCATTCTTCTATAAAGTTGATTACTGTTAATAATTGAGACAAGTGGTATTTATCTTTCTGTATCTGTCATGTTTCACCTAACAAGACTATTTTCTTTTCTATTCATGTTGCTTCAAATGACAGAAGTTCATTGCTTTTAAGGCTAATAAATACTTGGTGTGTGTGGGGGGGTCATGTATGGAAGTGCAGGTATATACATATCACAGTATACACGTGGAGATCACGAGGTATCTTTGGGGAGTTGCTTCTTGCCGTCTATGTTGTATTGAGTAAGCCTTTCTTGTTTTTCTGTTGCTATGCTCTCTATTCCAGAAGAGCTGGTCAACAAATTTCCAGGCATTCTCCTATCTCCACCTTCTCTGTCACCATACGAGCGCTAGGATTACAGACATAACTACTGTATCTTGTTTCTACAGGTTCCAGGAATCTAATGTCAGGCCACAGTGGGTACTTTTACCAACTAAGCCATCTCCATTGCCCATTAAATGTATATTTACCATGTGCTTTTTTGTTTGCTTTTTTGTTTTCATTTTTCAAACAGTCTCAATTGAGGATTCCCTTGAACTCCTGATCCTTTCTCCACCTCTCCAGCACTGGGGTTATAGGCATGTATAGTGCCCAGCTATTTGTTTTCTTAATTCACTCATCCACCTAAAAAGTATTTGCAGTTATTCTGTATTTTGGCTGCTGTTGTAAATAATAATGCAATAAATATAAAAGTGCAATTACTTTTTATACAACTTTTTCATATCCTTTGGTTATATATTTATTTACTAGAAGAAATGAAATACACTTGTTGTGCTTTTTGTATTTAAGGGATTTCTATATTATTTTTTGTAATTAATTATGTACTAAATTATGTAACTTTAAACAGTATTAGAGTTGCTGCTTCTCTGAATCCTAATCAGAATTTGTTTTTATCTGTGTAATGATAAATATTCTAACTGGGTGAAATGATAGGTCACTATAGCTTTTATTTAATTTTTTCTGATAATTAGAAAAATTACTTTATATCTAAAAGGCACTTATGAGTGAATACATATCATATTTGTCTTTCTGGGTCTGGGTTATCTCACTCAAAATGGTGTTTTCTAGATCCGTCATTTTGCCTGCAAATTTCAAGATGTCATTATTTTTTTCTTCTGTGTAATACTCTATTGTGTAAATGTACCACATTTTCTTTATTCATTATTCAGTTGAAAGGCATTTAGGTTGTTTGCAGATTCTGACTATGACAAACAATGCTATTATGAACATAGTTGAACACATGTCCTTGTGGTAAAATTGAGCAACCTTTGGGTATATACCCAAAAGTGGTATTGCTGGTTCTTGAGGTAGGTTCTTTCCTGAGAAATTGCCATACTGAATTCAAAAGCAGCTGAACCAGTTTGCACTCCCACCAGCAATGCAGAAGCGTTCCCTTTTCCCCACATTCTCTCCAACATAAGCTGTCATCAGTGTTTTTGATCTTGGCCATTCTGACAGGTGTAAGATGAAATCTCAGAGTTTTTTAACTTGCATTTCTCTGATGGTTAAGAAAGTTGAACATTTCCTTAACTGTCTTTCAGCCATTTTAGATTTGTCTGATGAGCACTCTCTGTTTAGGTTTGTAGCCCATTTTTATTGGATTATTTGTTCTTTTGATGATAAGTTTCTTGAGTTCTTTGTATATTTTGGAGATCACCCCCCACGTGTTGTTTCTATTGGGTATTACTGTCACAGTCACTAGAAAAGTAACCAGTATAGCCACAGTAAATCTGAGGAGTCAGGATCTGACAAAACAACAGGGACACTTAAGGTGAAGAGAAGATGCAAACCAATACTCCTAAATTCTGCCACAGTGGCATTCCTCCAGAATCTTTCCATCTCAGCTAGCCTGGACCCAACTAAACCATCTTCTTTAATAGGAAAGATTGATTTAAAGTTTGTCCGAATACAGCAATTCTTACCCAATATTCCATGTAACATAAATGGCTGTTGTACAATTGTTTTTCATGAATACACGTGTATTCAATATTTTCACATAGTGCATTCATTCATATAGACATTCCTTTCTTAGGGAATTTCTGAACACATATACAATAATGCATGCCAATTTTCTCTTACAGTTTCACCAACAGCTTAAAAGATGGTGAATGAATACAAGAGAATTGTTCTGCTGAAAGGATTAGCGAACCTCAGTAGTGATCAGTTTGACTGCTTTAAGTCATTAATGTCCAGTGATTTAAGACTGGAAAGACACATGCAAGAGAAATATACCAAGGTTCAGATTGCTGACATGATGGAAGACGAATTCCCAACTGATGTTGGATTGGGCAAACTGATTGACTTTTGTGAAAACATACACACTCTTAAAGGACTTGCTGAAATCCTTAAAGAAGAGAAATCAAAAGGTAACATGTAAAATAGAACCCCCTGTCCCTAATACTGTGTTGCTATCTCTGCTCCCTTCGTTAAAGTACCCACATAGCTTTTATCTTCCCAATTTATACTTCAGTGATCACAGCTGCATTGGTGTTTTGGGTTGAACTGAGGATGTCCCCTTTCCAGTGGATGCTATGAGTTAAGGAGTCTATTTGGTGTGTAGACTAACACAAAAATAGAATTTCATCAAAGATTGGGCTTGCAGGTGTAACATAGATATTGGAAAATTATGGTTTAAAATCTAAGTATATTCATTAACCATTAGTGTCACCTATTTTATTAAGAACACTAGCATTAATTATCCTCTCTATTGACAAAGATAAGACAATACGTTAATCAAATATCGCCTTAAGAAGGTATAAATCACCACTGTCATTCATAAAATTACAGAGTTAGGTAATAAGATTTTAGAAAGATAAAATCCACAGCTTTTCTATCTTATTCCACAAGTGTGTACCAGGTTTCTTTCACTGATTTTGATGATTTGAGTGTACTATATACACAAAGCATAACCAACAAATCATGATGAAAATTTGCATTTTTAAGAGAATGGCAGGAGAATGAGAATGAGAAAAGCTTGACTGATGTAATGGGGTTCAAGGACAGGAAGGTTTTCTCCCATTATAGGGAACGAGTAAGAAAAACATCAAGTAGTAGAGACTGTGTCTAAGACAGTGCCTTTAGTGATATAATCCTACAGTAACCTAATGGAATAAACATTAATATGAATGCAATAAAAATGTATTCATATGGCAGGAAAACTAGATGGTTTCTAGATCCTCTATTTTGGTTCAAGTGGAGTCTTTTGTTCATGCATTTGTTGTGATGAAAATTATACCCTTCCCAGTAAAAGGAAAAACACCACTGAGAAATAAGAATCAAGAAGCAAGTTCTGCTATAAAAACACCAACTGCAAGCAATACTTTAGCATCGGATGGAGGGGAAACTTCTGCAGCTCAGGTGAGTTTGAGGTACAGCAGCAGATTGATAGGCCAAAAAGGTTGCAGCAGAGCTGCTTGTCCATACTCTGTCCATGAGGCACTGACTGCTTTTTAGTTTATCTTCAAGCCTTACTGAAACTCATGGATAAATGATCATGTGGCATTAAAATATGTTAACTCCTACAAGAGATGTGGTATACTTGACAGTCGGGTAGGATAATGGCTGCTTCATGTTTGTACAAGACCCAGTTTTCAATTTCACATTCAAATTCAATTATGCCCTACCATAAAGGTAATGTGAGAAAAACTATGTGTATAACCCTTTCCTCTCCCTTTATATAATGAAACTACTTATGCACACATTTTGTTTATTTTCACAATCATATTCTAGACCTGGCCAGAGGGTGGGTGTCACTCCAAGCTTCCAACATATTCAGGCATAATAAACCTACTGCCTAATAATGAAGACACACTTTGGTCACTTGATACTGAGACTCATTAACATTGCCATGTATACACTTTCAGAAAAGAAAATGTATGAATAACGAAAAGACTGCCATGAAAAAGGCCAAGGGGTCTGAGAGGCTAAATCACCCTCCATGTTCTACAGAAAACACAGCCAGTTGCCAGTCCTCAGTATTCCAGACCTCATCTTTGGCTTCATCCAACACTTCTTTGGATAAGGTACAAGTTTTATGCCACCCTTTCATTTTCTCAATCTAAATATCAGAATCAGATTTTCAAGTTTGCCCATGATTCACACTTATCACTGAGATTTAATTAGTTACACACACACACAGTGTTTGGATACAATAGAAGTAGATCACCATACAAAGGCAGAAATATAAACATAGGTGATACAATTACAGAATTTGCTGCATCATAACTTTTGGTTGCCACAAAGACATTTAATAAACTTGGCATTACTGACAATGAGAAGTCCTGCCTTGCGCTGATCATAGATATGAAGAGAGGGATGAAGAGTCAGTAGCCATAGGCTCAATTTCTATAAGATGGAACCCATACCTGACTCAGCTAAAGCAGTCAAGAACCTGAGAAACCTACTACTATTTTTCTGCTTAAGGAACATAGCAATAACATGACTCATAGTGACAAATTGTCATATCTATAGATCAGTGCTTCATTCAGATCTCATCAGAGAAGCTTCTTCTTGTCATAGATGGGAATTAACAGAGACCCACAACTGGCCAATGTGAGATAGTGAGAGACTTTACAGTATCCATCCCTCAGTAGGAAGTCTGCATCACATCCCTCAGGGATCTATGTGGAAGAGGAAGATGAAAGCTTGTAAGAGTCAAAGATAGTGCATGACTCCAAGGAAACAATGTTTGCCCTTTTGGACAAACAGGAGTGATGCATATCTGAGCTCAGACACTGTAGTGGCACACATTAAAAAAAAGCACAGGTTCAAGCTGCCTGGGGTCCCATAACAGGGAGAAGGGAGGGAACATAAGTCCAACCCTTAACCAAGAAGCAATTTTCAGTAGATAACAACTACCAAAGGGTTTCTTCAATGGAGACTCTCATCCACAGTCTGAATGAGAGTGGTACACCAGCACCAAAAGAGGTTCGCATGGTTTTGTGTATGTGGTGGATTGGGTTTTTATTTTGTTTTTTGGGGGGAAATGTTTTTCTCACTTTTTATGTTTTTATTTATTTACATTTTGAGAATGAGAGGAAGACATGAAGTTAAATGTGGGGGGATTTGGAAGTGTTGGGGGGAGGGGAATCCTAATCAATATATATTGTATGGAAATTTTTAAAATGAAAATAATAGAAAAATACTAATCCTGAGAGGGGCGAAAAGAAATGTAGTGAGAGAAATTAGAGAATTTTTGTAAATCTAAAAAAAAAAAAAAATAGAATACTATTCAGAACCTGGTAGTGAAAGAAAGCGAGCGGCAATCTATTATCTTGTGTTGACTTTTTCCAGGTCAGGCTACTTTCAAATGGGACTTGTCAAATATTTCTGCACTAATACATTAAAAATGGGATGATTAGCCAGGCAGTGATGGCACATGCCTTTAATCCCAGCATTCGAGAAGCAGAGGCAGGTGATCTCTGTTGCAAGTAGGGGCAGCTTGTTTTTCCCTCTGCCTGGCTAGCTTAGCCCTAAAATAACCACACAGAAACTGTATTAATTAAATCACTGCTTGGCTCATTAGCTCTAGTTTCTTATTGGATAATTATTACTTATTAATTTAACCCATGTCTATTAATCTGTGAATCGCCACTTGACAGTGGCTTACCGGGTAAAATTCCCAGCGTCTGTCTCTGGCAGATCCATGACGTATCTCTGACTCTGCTGTCTTCCTCCCAGAATTCAAATCTGTCTTCTCTGCCTACCTAAATTCTGCCCTATCAGGTCAAGGCAGTTTTTTTTATTCATTAACCAATATAAGCAACACACAGAGGGGACTTCCATATCAGATCTCTATGAGTTGGAGGCCAGACTAGTCTACAAGAGCTAGTTCCAGGAGAGATAGGGTTGTTACACAAAGAAACCCTGTCTAGAAAAAACAAAATTAAAATAGAAAGAAAGAAAGAAAAGAAAAGAAAAAAGTAATTGATGCCTCTTACTTTTTCTGAGTACTCATTGAAGGAAAACTGTAGCAATGTCAGCATCCATCTCTGAACGCTCCCTTTCCTTTCTCTAGCTATCCTTCTGTATGCCCCCATCTCTTTATCACTTGATGAAATATAACCAGACAGTCAAGCAAAAACAGAAGCAATTTTACTCACCTCAATCTTACCATTCTAATAATTTAGAGATAAATAATTTTTTTATATTTTTCATTGATTGTTATAATTATGTGAAAATTTTTTCTAGGGTAACATTCTACAAGAGTTATTACTTCATTGTTTTTCCAATTTGACATATCAGGATCATCTTTCCAACTCCCTAAGTTACAAGCATATAACATTCAATGGTTATATCAGTATTTATGTTGCTTTTTAAAAAAAATTCATTGCAGAATTCATTGTAGATTGTTTATCCAGTACTACAAACTAAGTTCCACTTTCAATGAATATTGTGAATGGAGACTGTGCTTGGTTTCCTGGCTGCCCAGACTCTAATAATCACACAGGAACTACCTTAATTGCAACACAGTTTGGCCAATAGCTTAGGCATATTTTTAACTAGTTGTTACATCTTAAATGAACCCATTTCTATCAATCTGTGTATCACCATGAGGGTGTGGTCTACTGGTAAGATTCTGATATCTTTTTCCTTTGGCAGCTACATGACATCTGCCTGAATTTATCTGCCTATTCTCTCTCTCTCTCTCTCTCTCTCTCTCTCTCTCTCTGGAGTCTTACCTCATTCACGATGGGTTTTTTTCTAGCTCTATTTGCCTGCAAATTTCAAGATGCCATTGCTTTTCACCACTGAGTAATGCTCTATTTGTAAATAGACCACATTTTCTTTATCCATTCTTTGGTAGGGTTATACCTAGGTTGTTTTCAGGTTCTGACTATTACAAACAATCCTGCTGTGAACATAGTTGAGCAAATGTCCTTGTAGTATGACTGTACATCCTTTGACTATATGTCCAAGAGTGGTATTGCTGGGTCTTGAGGAAAATAGACTCCCAATTTTCTGAGAAACTGTCCTACTGATTTCCAAAGTGGCTGTACAAATTTGCACTCCCACAAGCAATGGAAGAGTGTTCACCTTATTTCACATCCTTTCTACCTTAAGATTCCATTTTTGTTTTTCATCTTAGCCGTTTTGACAGGTGTAAGATGGTATCTCAGAATTGTTTAGATTTGCATTTCCCTGATGGTTAAGAATGTTGAGCAGCTCCTTTGAGAATCCTCTGTTGAGAATTATCTATTTGGATTTGTACCCCATTTTTTAATTGGATTGTTAGATATTTTGATAACTAGTTTCTTGAGTTCCTTGTACACTTTAGATTAGCCCTCTGTCTGATGTGGGGTTGGTGAAGATATTTTCCCATTCTGTAGGCTGTCTTTTTGTCTTGTTGACCATGTCATTTGCCTTACAGAAGCTTCTCAGTTTCAGCAGGTCCCATATTAATTGTCAATCTCAGTGTCTATGCTACTGGTGTTATATTCAGGAAATGTTTTCCTGTGCCAATGTGAACAAGGTAACTTTCCACTTTCTCTTCTATGAGGTTCAGTGTGGCTAGATTTTTGTTGAGGTCTTTTATCCATTTGGACTTGAGTTTTAAACATGAGAATAGACATTAATCTATTTTCATTCTTCTCTATGTTGACATCCAGTTATGCCAGCACCAATTTGTTGAAGATGTTTTCTTTTTTCCATTGCATAATTTTAGCTTCTTTGTCAAAATTCAGGTGTTCATACATGTGTGAATTAATATTAGGGTCTTTGATTTGAGTTCATTGGCCCACCTTTTGTTTTTGTGCCAGTACCAAGCTGTTTTCATTACTATAGCTTTATAGTAGAGCTTGAAGTCAGAGATGGTAATGATTCCGAAAGTTTCTTTATGTACGGGATTGTTTTAAGCTATCCTGAGTCTTTTGTTTCTCCATATGAAGCTGAGTATTGCTCTTTTGAGGTCAGTGAAGAACTGTGTTAGGATTTTGATGGGAATTGCATTGAATCTGTAGATGGCTCTTTGTTAGATTGCATTTTTTATTGTGTTGATCCTATCTACCCAAGAATACTGGATATCTTCCATTTTCTGATACCTTCCTCAGTTTTCTTATTTAAAGAATTAAAGTTCTTGTCATATAGTGTAAGAGTCTGCACTTCCCAATGGATACCCACACCCGGTTCAGGCTGTGAGCTTTCCCGAACTCGAGCCCACGAGAATGGACGATTGTCCTGAGGGTTGGAAAAGAGACACACACACAAAAGAGACCTTTGCTCATTTATCAGAGTAAATGGCAACTTTATTAAACTCAAGTCAGGTATTTATACCAGTGGGCTAGAAGGATCGAAAATGCAAGGCCTCCTCCCAACCAGAAGCAGGAGGAGAAGATTAAAGCTTCCCGGCCCCTCGGGGCAGGGTCAGCTAGGGGAGGCAGGCTATCGGCCCACTGCTAAGACCTTGAATACAAGTGGAATCACCATAACAAAGAGAACCAGGTTCTTGCTAGGTTATCTTCTCAAGCCAGAGCTAGTGCAGAGTCTCCAGGGAGCCGGAGGTCACAGGGCCCTGGGAATCTCTAGGAGAGAAGGGAAAAACCTTGGTGGCTACAATATAGGCCTTTCACTTGTTTGGGTAGAGTTACCCCAAGATATTTTATGTTTTTTGTGTCTGTTGTGTACGGTCATGTTTCTCTAATTTCTTTCTCAGCCTATTTAGCATCTGTATATAAAAGGGTGACTGATTCTTTTTTTTAGTTAATCTTATATTCTTCCACATTACTGAAGGTGTTTATCAGCAGTTGAAGTTCCCAGGTAGAATTTTTTGAGTCACTTATATGAACTATCATATTATCTGCAAATAGTGAAAGCTTGAATTCTTCCTTTCCAATTTGTATTTCCTTAATCTTCTTTTGATGTCTTATTTCATTGTTCTAGCTAGAGCTTCAAATACTATATTAAATAGATATGGAGAGAGTGAACAGCCTTGTCTTGTTCCTGATTTTAGTGAAATTTCTTTGAGTTTCTCTCCAGTTAGTTAAATTTTGGCTGTTGGTTTGCTGTATATTGCTCTTGTTATGTTTAGGTATGTTCCTTATATCCCTGGTTTCTCCAAGACCTTTATCATGAAGGGGTGTTGGATTTTGTCAAAGGCTTTTTCCACATCTAATGAGATATCATGTGGGGTTTTGTTCAGTTTGTTTATATGGTGGATTACATTGACATATTTTTGTATGTTGAACCATCCATGCATCTCTGGGGTGAAGCCTACTTGACTATGGTGAGTAACTTTTCTGATGTGTTCTTAGATTCAGTTTGCCAGTATTTTATTGAGTATTTTTGCATCAATGCTCCTCCAGGTGTAGGTGGGACCAAGTCCTCTCTGATTGTAAACACCATGGGGATATTTGGTGGTGTATTAAGGTTACTCCCACATCTCTGGGGTTTTGTTGGGTGGGGTAGGGTGCAGGATGTGGCTAGGGGGCAAGGACCTAAAGAGTAGGATTCTCCAGGTGGAGACCCAGACACTCACGTCCGCAGGTGGGCACAGATTCCCTCGAAGTGATTTGGGGTGTGGGGAGACTGCTCCAAGGTCTGGGGAGCTTTACTGGGTAAGGATGCAGCACGGGATATGCTTCTGGGATCTAGGGCCTAGAGGGTAGGTCCCTCCAACCAGGAACCAAGATACTCCACTCTCCTGCTTTTATATTTTTATATTATACTAATTGGTTACACTGATAAAAAAAATCAGATCCAAGTGAACTCTAATCACTTATAGGCAATGATCAGTTGTAACATGATAGATAAGGCTATGCACATCCCCTTGGGTCTGTGGAGACACCAATGCTATCCCTTTATCCTCCAATCCATGAAGTTTCTGTCTAAACTCAATGAGCTCAGACTACTGTGCGGAACGGAGATTAGAAGCCTCTCAGTATCTCTTCCTGCTGTTGAAGAAAACACTCTATCCACATTTCAGGACATGTCTCTAATCAAAGTAACTAACTCTACATCGGTCTATTTAAAGAGGTGGCTGTGGGCAAACTCATGCTGATTTTCATCTCCTGAGGAGATATACTGTGATTTTATTCTCAGAATAGCTCCAAATAGTCCAGGGGTAACTCAAGTCCTATGACATCTTTATGGTTTATATTTACCATTCTCTGTTTTCAACAATATTTAATTTTCCCCTTTTATATTCTTCTGCCATAAGAGAAAAGGATCTATTTGAATTAACAATGATTTCACTTAAGTACCTCATAAAATTTCTCTTACAGCTTGTGCTGTGTTCATGCTGAACATCTTGTTTCATGTTGGAAATAGCCCTCTGAGTTTACAACAAAAATGTTCAAGGTTCTGTGGCTGAAGCTCATTGTTTTAATTCATTCGACTTTTGGCCAGTGAAAGAGTTCCTCTTTAGCTTATCCATAATTCTACTAATACATAAAAATTGATAGGACAAATGTAGAGATTGTGATTTACATTATGTAAAGGTTAATTTTTTATTTGTGGCTAAACTTATATGTTTATATCCCCATGTTTGTTCAACCCAGAACCAAAAGACTCAGACCCAAAACCAGAGAATTGCAAGAGGTGCTGTTTGTAAAAATGATGCCATGATAGTGATGGTGCTCAATGCAACAGAGCCATTTGCATATAAGTCAACAGAACCTGGAGGAAAGATGATGTTTCATGCTACAGTGGCCACTGTGAGCGAGTATTTCCATGTGAAAGTTTTCAACATCAACTTGAAAAAGAAGTTCACAAGAGAGAATTTCATCATAATCTCTAATTACCTTGAATTCAAAGGAATCCTAGAGATAAATGAACATTCCTCTGTGCTTGAAGCTGGTCCTGTCCAAAGTATTAGTGTCCCCATAAGCCTTATCAGAAAATCAAAAGAAACTCCCAAGATTTTTGATATTCGCAAGTATGCCACTGGAACACCAGTTTATGGGTTGTTTACATTAAACAAGGTAATGTCTGAAATTTTGTTTATGTCTCCTTCTCCACCAACACCTGAGCTCAAATATAAGAACTTTCCAGTCCATGTGTAATGCAATATTGTTACAGAAGATTTTACCATGTCTGGGGTAACTGTAACACGAGGGCCGACTTGTTGGGGTTTCTGTCCCACCCAGTACCCCACAGCTGGCAAGCCCCAAAGAAAATCACACACAGGACTCCATAAGATTATAAACTGATTGGCCCTTAGCTCTGGCTACTTATTAGCTCTTATAGCACATATTACCCCATTATCCTTATCTACATTAGCCACATGGCTCAGTACCTTTTCCAGTGGTCAGCTCACATGTTGCTTCTTCAGTCGTCTGGGCAGGAATGGCAGAGGGAGCTTCCTACTTCCCAGAATACTCCCATTGTCTTTGCTCCACCTCTACTTCCTGTCTGGTTTTCCCGCCTATACTTCCTGCCTGGCCAATTAGCATTTATTTAAAATATGATTGACAGAATACAGACAATTCTCCCACACCAGGTAACAGATGAAATCATCCCACATATTAAGAGATAATTCATCAGCCTATTTCCTAGGATATTTTTTAAAAAGTTCTCTAAAAGTAAATTACAAATAATCTTTACTTTATTTGTTAAAAAATATCTACCCTCAGTCACAGTAAGCAGGAATGTTATAGTATATAGGTCAGTACCTTGCCAACAGTCTCAGATTTTTAAGCTCCCTTGCAAATATACAGTATTCATTCTTTTCTTTCCATACAATTTGTTTCTATTGATTGTCTGAACTAGAGTAAATATTGATTGCAACAGATATTTGGAGTAATAAATGATTGGTTAGCAACCTTCTAGATCAAAAACCATTGACTAGAATGAATCGTTTATCTCTTTAGTAGGTTTAATCATTCAATGTTGACTTTTATCTTATTCAATTAGTATCTTATTCAATTAACTACTTCTGAAGACCTTAGCAACTGAGAACTATAGCACTAAGTGACATTTAGAAGTCAAGTGAACCTAGTTTTTACATTTAGAGAAGTAAATACATGCAGACATCTCATTGATGGATCATTCAATACAGTATGAATTGGTGATATTGACTTATTTGGACATGATACTCGAAAAGTAAGTAAATGAAGAGGGTCTAAATAAGTGAGTTACAGGAATCTTACCTGTTATGTAGTTTCCCTATAACCTACTGGATGAATGAACAGTGAGAGTTAATGTCATTCGTCCCTTTATAACCATAAGATACAAAGATGGCTGCCTGAATTTCTAATGTCTATGATCCTGGGTGATTTAGAGGGAATGCAGGCCATGAAGTATAGGTGGCAGAGCAAATCAGGAAGAACATTTATTGTCCTAAAACTTCCAGGCACAAATCTTCTTGATAAAGAAAGTAAATCATCACACTAATAAAGAAAATTCTTTGGGAACACTTCACTACAGACACCTGCTTGCCTGTGTCTGTAACAGTTCTCATATTTTTCTATCATTTTGTCCTGAAAAGGTCTTTTTTGAATGTAAAATAATGTTTGTGAATTTGATAACTTTCAGAAAAGGAATGCCAAATTTACTTTTCCAGAAAAAGGTGAACCCAAAGAATACAATCTATGAAATAAAGGATGGCACAGGAAATATAGAAGTTGTAGGGAGTGAGCAATGCTACAACATCAGCTGTAAGGAAGGAGACAAAGTGCAACTCTTCTGCTTTCAAGTGAAAACAATTGACAAGCAACCGAAGCTGGTGTCTGGCTATCACAGTTTCATTAAGGTATGGAGTAGACAGGGAACAGATTTATCAAAGCAGAAATTCACATTTCATTAGGATTCTGAATGTGAATTTTTAGCGTGTTGCATTTTTGTCTCTGGAATTTTGTCTCTGGAAGGGAGAATTAAAATGTTGTCCTTACACTCATTTTTATGGGAAGATTTTTTAAAAATTATATTAAAGAAATAATCCAAAGAATATTATATATATGCTAAATAACAAGATATGTGAGAAAGTAAGAGTGACATGGAAATATATTTCAAAAGTGATCAAGAACAAGAGTTTTGAATAAGTCAAATTTGATTTGAAAGTCAACTTTAACCGTTAAGAATTGACTGATTCTGGGGAAAACTTCACTTTAAATCTGGACTTTAAGGTAAGAAATGCCTAGATATGTATGAGTTATCACAAAAATTAGCACATCATGACAAGTGAGTAGGTACTATTTTCTTAACTGGGTGAAGGAGAGAGAGAGAGAGAGAGAGAGAGAGAGAGAGAGAGAGAGAGAGATAAGAAATAGAAACGGCATGAAAATATATCAATGAATGGCTCACCACTATTAATTCTTCCACATATGAAAGACAGAGACTGAGAACATGAGATTAAAGGGCTGTTTAAATGGTCAAATAAATGTAGCATTGTCAGAAATAAGGAAGTAAGAACCATTCACGGTGGATAAGTTAAATATTGAAAGACTTTCTGAGTTTGAATGCTTGATAACTTTGAGACATAAGTAAAAAAGATTTTTGTACCTGTCTTGAAAATTTGTGTTGCAGAGAAACTTGCCTTGGAGGTAGAAATATTAGTTAGACATAACTTTGTACTATTATACACTTTGTATTAAATATTTGTGTTAAATATTCAGAAACATTGCAAGTTGCTTATGAAATCTCCAGAAGTTTGAAATTCACCATAGATTTACAGCACTAAAACATTTAAAGGCTATTGAGAATGATTTTAGAAATCAGGCAGTCACTTTATCAAGACATTGCAGAATCTATTTTATAATTTTATTAGGCAGGGAAAAGATAAATGGGACTTTGAGTGATGGAAATGACTAATGTTTAAGAAGATAAACCCTCATTATTTTACAACCAGCTTGGTAATGGTGGTGAGGAAAAAAATGGGTTCAAAGAACATCCAAAAGCTATTCAGTGATAATACTAACAAGCAGAATAAATGGTGCTGGTACCAACACTAAGAACAAGAACAACACATATGGGTTTGAAGCGTACTCAGATTGATGATGATGTTAAACTCCCTTGAGGAAATTTACATCCATACAAATAGAGAACACCCAATAAGTACTTACTTTGTGTTGGGACTTTAAGCAGCAACAGAGAGATAATAATTATTTTCATTTCACAGATAATCAGTAATAATCACAGACAATGTGCACAGTAGAACTGAAATCTACCTGTGCTACCTGGAACTGAATGCAGATTCTTATACAAGGTGAGTATGCAGATCACTGAAGGCAGTTATGAATCACAGGACAGTGAAGGGATAGGTAAACAATACTATAAATTAAGATAAACAAATTGAGAGGACAAGATAAAATGAAAGAGATGAAACATAGATACAGAAAATTTAAAGAGGAATGGGGTCAACACAGATCATTCCAGACACAAAAGAGCAAGGAGTTCTCTGGAAATTACTGCATTAAAAAGCTAGAGATGACTTTAGCAGAAGGTATGCTCCAGATACAATAGTCAAAATGCAAATGTTGCTACATTCTGACACAGGAATATAAACATTAATTGTTCCATCTTCAAGAATACAAGAATTCATGAGTTTCAACTATACCTAATAACCCAGAGCAGTAGTAGTGAAGAAAATCAGAACTTCATGTAGTTTGGTTTTGTTTTTCTGCTCCAACACATGTTTTGGAAAGGTAAACCAATACTTCTGATTTTTTGTTATAATTCCTTGCCCCAAAAGAAAGTCATGTTGAGCATGAAAAGCCATCTCTTCAAGAACCACATAGTTGGGAAAGGGTGGCTCAAAATAAGGCAATACAATGAAGAAAGTGAAGCATAGAAGATCAACAGCCTTTGAGAGGGCCAAAGGTCATATAAGGCTATTGAGGGCAATAGACAAAGATAGATGGCTGGAGAAATACAAAGAGTGCTTTAGTTCAATGACTAGAATCTTATAGTATCTCTCACTGTCTCTTTTCAGGCTACCAAGGCTTGAATAGAGACACCAAGCAACTGGAAATAAACAACAGCTCTAGTAATACATCCAAGCATTTAAACATCTCGCTATCTAATTTGTAATTATGTATTTTCATTCGCAAATTTCCTCATTGCTCTCTTTTTCTATGAGAATAATACTTGAATTTAATTTCTCTAGTGCAAAAATAACAAATTTAAAGGGACATAATTACAAAATGTTGTATGTAATTTATTCAATTCATGGGTTAACTGCTAGATACTGGTACATTTGTGCTCTGTGGGACACATAGGATGGAATACACAGAATTTTGTCAACATTGAGGTCTATATTCTGATCAGAACTTCCAGAGTGTAGAATCTATTAGGATTCTCTCTCATTCTGTGGGCTGCTTATTCTCTCCATTGACTGTTCTCTTTACTGTACACAAACTTGAAGTTTTATGAGGTCTCATTAGTCAGTTGTTGACCTTATTCTTGGATGTATGAAGTCCTATAAAGAAAGTCCTTCTGAACAGAACAGTGTTAACACAGGCACTAAAGATCCACAATTAATAAAAGGGACATCATGAAATTGCAAAGTTTCTGCATCACAAAAGACACCATCCTTCAGACAAGGAAGCAGGGTACAGAATGAGCAAAAAGTATTACCAACTACACATCTGATAGAGACCTAATATCCAAATATATAAGGTACTCACAACTCCAGATGATTGATCAAATGAGTAATTCAATTAAAAAATGGGATGCAAATTGGGCATGGTGGCACATGCCACCTAGTACTCAGGAGGCAGAGGCAGAGGCAGGCAAATCTATGTGAATTTGAGGACAGACTGATCTACAAAGTGAGATCTAAACAGACAACTCTCAAAGAAGGAAAGTCAAATGACTGAAAAACATTTAAAAGAAAGTTTAACTTTAGCAACCCTCAGGGAAATGCAAACCCAAACTATTTTGAGATTTTTATCTTAAGCCCCACTGAACAGCTAAGATCAGTAGAATAAATGACAGCTTATGTTGGTGAGGATGTGAGGTGTGGAGTAAGGGAAACAGCCATCTGTTGATAGTGGAGTGCAAACAGCTTACTTCAGTCTCCTTTAAACACTTTCAATAATTTTTTTTTGTTTTATTTTCCTGAGAAGTCTTTTCCAGACACAAAACCATAAGATTGCATCTTTTGCTCCTTTTAGAAAGTTTATAGTTTAGTTTTTTTCTTTTTATTCTATGACCTGGTTTTTCTTAGTTTTAAGATGTGAAATGGTATTTACTTTAATATGAATATGGGATTTGTGCCATCACAACCATTTTTTGGTAAAACATGCTTGAATCAAGATCCTTTCCCCACTTATTTACTTCTCACTTTTGTCCCAAAGCAACTTTCTAGATTCTTTATTGCATTTGCCCAGTAGTTCCTCTGCATTTTAAGTTCAAAACTACACTATGTCTTTACAAAGAACCCAAGATAATAAACAAAATATTGCAATTTTCGATATTCCGAGATATAGAAATCAGCATATAAAAAACTGATACTCCTTTGTGTTGTGAATTAGGTCCATACGATAAATAACCAGACCAGCTCAAGAATAACAGTTATATTTTAATGGTTAAAAAGGGGAAACTCATGCTACAAGAGTGGGAGGTCCAGCATCCCTTCTGTCTGGCAGGCATCACACAGAGAGAGGCACGTACCTGGATCCTCCCAGTTTTTCTACCTGGGCCCCAGATAGTCACATCCTAACTAGTTATGATTGGTTGATATAGTTTCCACATCATCTCCCCCTTTTGTCTAAAGAAGATCGATCCAAACCCAATACAACTATATACAATAGGAATAGATACCAAATATAAAATTATAAATACACAATAAACAATATTAAGAAAGGAACACATAACGAAAGTTTTACTAAACATTCTATGTCAAGGAGTCTAACTAGTGCATTGAAATTAAGCTTGGGTAAATCATGAGGAAGGTAACTACAATTATCTAATCTTCAACTCCATCAAAAATCTGAGAAGGGAAGCAAAATTACTTGAGTAAACAGAAAGTGCAATTGAGAAACTTCCAAATTGTGCAACAAATGACAGAGACAACTGACTACCTGGGCAATCACCCAAAGTCTCATTTGTAATGTTGAAGCAGCCAACTTTGGCTATGGCCTAACGTAACTAACATACCATTTTCAAAGGCAAGAAGCTTTTCAAAACTATCTTACCCTGTTTTGGCAGGGTATGACAGTCCTGTTTTATCCATTTACAAGTTCGCGGCAGCGGGGCATAGGGCATGGGGCTCTGGGCGCAGGGCACAGAGCCGAGGGAAGCCGAGGTAGTCTATGTCTGCAGCATTGGTGCACACAAGTGGCGTGGGACTTGCAGAACTGTAGTGGCTCCACGTTTAGGCGCTAAGTATTGCGAATTATGTCGGTAAGATAAATAACCAGACCAGCTCAAGAATAATAGTTGTATTTTAATGGTTAAAAGGGGGAAACTCATGCTACAAGAGTGGGAGGTCCGACATCCTATCTGTCCAGCAGGCACCATGTTCCTCCCAGTTTTTCTACCTGGTCTCCAGGTAGCCATACTCTAACTAGATGTGATTCGTTGATAGAGTTTCCCCATCATCCTTGCCTTATAAACACATTGATAGAATTTTTTTTAAAAAAATATTTGCCAACATTATCAACTACAATGAACTGCAATAGAGTTTTAAATTTTGATCAATTTTACCTTATCTTACTTCCTCAGTTCCTCTGAGATTCATACTCAGCCTACTTAATTTGAAGAGTAATTTCTGTCTAATTAGTGTGTCTATATACTCTTGGTTATTGTCATACATTGGAGCATATTCTGTCTACCAGAAGCCACACACTAATAAAAATTGATCTCTTTTAAAGATTTACTTATTCGTTATGTATGCACAAATTATGGTACATTTACACAATGGGATACTACACAGTGGTAAAAAAAATAAGGACATTTTGAAATCTGTAGGCAAATGGATGGATTTAGCAAAAAAAAAATACATATTGAGTGAGGTAACCCAAATCTAGAAAGACAAATATAATAGAAGGACTCTGTCATAAGTGACTTTTAGACACAAAACAAAGAAAAAACCACCTATGGTCCAAAACCCCAGAGAACCTAGACAACAGAGACACTAAAAGAGACATACATGAATCTACATAGAAAGGAGAAAAAAGACAAGATCTCCTGAGTAAGTTAGGAGATTGGGAGTCACAGGAGAGGGTAGATGGAAGGGTAGAGGAAAAAGGAAGAGCAGAGAAAAATGTGTAGCTCAACAAAACAAAATATCTCTCTCAGCTAGTGTTAATATCTTGTCTCAATCTCCTTTCTCCATACTGGGCTTTTGTCTGACATAAATTAGACAGGTCTGGTGAATATTCTCATGAGCACTGGACATTCATATGTGCAACTTCCCTATTATATCTGCAAAACCCTGTTTCCTATACTCATCCAGCTGCTTTAGCTACTATGCTCTACCAGACTGCAGGAAGCATGTAAGTACCTGTATTCACAGACAAGCACTAGGGAAATGAGGAATGATAAACACACATGATTAAATTGTCCCTTTAAAGAAAGAGATACATAATCTGTGTTCTGCCCAGAAGACTGAAAATGGGTGTGGCTAATAGCCTGGTGACCTCAGCACTTTTCATATGGCCATTACCGGCTCACCCAGACTCCTACGTTTATCTCAGTAAATCTATAGCATCATCCTTCCTGAAACTTCATCATAAACATTGTTAACCTTGAGCTTGCTTTCTTAGTTAATCTTTAGAACTCATTTTTATGGATTTGTCACTTGTACTTTATCAAATTCTAGATGTTGCCATGGCTTAATCTTTATTGTGAAACAGGATTAAGTTAATTATCACCAAGAATTAAGGACAGTTGTGCTGTTCTTAAATGGGCTTGAAATAAACTACCTGATATTAGACTTTAATTTGAAACAACACAGGCCACTGAGTCTTGTTGAACCAAATCTTCTTACCTCCCCTGCATTGACTCTCTGCTGGCCATGGTGATTGGCACAAACCTGCTCTTCTACAATGACCTCTGACACATGGGAAAAGGGTTTGCATTATAGATGTCGCATTTAGGGCTGAGCACTGCACAGTCTCTTATTCTCTATACCTTGACCAGTTGTAAATCTTTTTTTTAATTACCATAGTAATGAGAAGTAAATAGAAGTCACTTTAATATTATGTCACTTTGGCAGAGTAATAAAAGTCAACTCTTTCCTCTGATCTATGACTTGTCTAGCCCCATGTTCTTGGCCTAGATAATAATACCATGTGTGGATTCTATCTTGTGAAGTGGGGCTTAAATCCAAGAAAAAAGCAGTTGGTCACTCCAATGACATTCATGCCACTATTGTACCTCTGGGCTTATAGTTCTAGGCTTGCTAGGGTTGATGCTTGTGATGCTCATAACTAAATAAAACTGATGCTTATTTTTGTCTTCTGATAGCATATATGCATGTCACCTTCTAGCACTCTGAAAGCAAACCAGTGATACTAAAACTGGTCTGAAAATAATGGAAAAATAAAAATTTTTAAAAGAGAAACTTCAATACTTTTTGGAAAAATTACCATACAACTCAAAAACTGATATAAAAGACTCAGAGCAAAGAAACTTTAAAAAACAAGGAGAGGTTATTTAGGAAGTGCCAATTGCGCTAGTTATCAAGACTAGTATAAACAAGGAACTACTATAAATACAGAGGCATCAGGTTAGTGGAACACAGGAAAATCAACAAGGATGTAGTAAGGAAGTAGAATATTATTGCAAAAAAACATGGCATTCTATTATGAGGGAAGGATGGAGAACTATGAAAAAGTAGGGAAGGTCATGTAGAGTGAAAACAGCCTGAATCATGTTCTTGCTATGAGTTTGTTTTATTTGTTTGGTTTTTGTAGCAGGATCTGACTGCATAACACTACCTGACCTGAAAATCATTATGTAGACTAGGCTGGCCTCAAACTCATGGAGACAAGCCTGTATCTACTACCTGAGTAGCCTTCATGGACACAGATAGGTAATACTGTATCTTTATCTTACAAAATATGTAATAAGAAATAAAGATCTAAAATAGAATGTAATATCACAGTTTCATAAGTATTTTTTCACTTTATACCTTTAAAATATATTTTAAATAAGATACAATTACACAATTTCATCATTCTTTTTTCTCTCCAGCACATCCTAGATTCTATTCATTTTCAATCAGAGAATTTTGAAAAATAAGTTTTGTCATATAACATATTATGCAAGTATATGTGTGTGTATGTATATATGTATGTATGTATGTATGTATATGGGTTTTAAGTCCAAAAAGAAGGAGTTTGGTTTCACTGATGATATTCATGCCTCTATTTTACACCTGGGCAGATCTTGCCAGGTTTGTCATGGTTGTGATTTGCATACTGTGATGAATCCCAAGATCACCTTGTGTGTAAGTTTTCTCTGACTAAACCTTCTATTACTAATCCATGATTGCTGATTTTTTTTTTTGACCTGAGATGTCTGTGAGACAGGATGATTCTCCAAATATTTAACCACTCCCTAAAAGTCAAGAAAAATGCATTTTTAGGATGCTTTTGCTACATTCAGCAAATATATCATCTGCACAAAGTGGATTGAGGGGCACTGGGCTGTACTACATAGTTCAAGGACAATGATTTGTGTGCCGCATGCTGAAATAATTATGACATGAAATGACAATGCTCAACCTCCTTAGCGATCAGGGAAATACAAATCAAAACAACTTTGAGATACCATCTTACACCTGTCAGAATAGTTAAAATCAAAAACACCAATGATAGCCTATGCTGGAGAGGATGTGAAGTAAGGGGAACACTCAACCATTGTTGGTGGGAATGCAAACTTGTGCAACCACTTTGAAAATCAGTGTGGTGGTTTCTCAGGAAACTGGGAGTCAACCTACTTCAGGACCCAGTGATTCCACTCTTGGGAATATACCCAGGAGATGCCCAATCATACTACAAAATCATTTGTTCAACTATGTTCATAGCAGCACTATTTGTAATAGCCAGAACCTGGAAACAACCTAGGTGTCCCTCAATAGAAGAATGGATAAATAAGTTGTGGAACATATACACTTTAGAGTTTTACTCAGCAGTAAAAATCAATGACATCTTGAATTTTGCATGCAAATGGATGGAAATAGAAAACACTTTATTGAGTGAGATAACTTAGACCCAAAAAGAGGAATATGGTATGTACTCACTCATAAGTGGATTCTATCCATAAATAAAGGATATTGAGCCTATAATTCGTGATCCTAGAGAAGCTAAATAAGAAGGTGAACCTGAAGAAAATCATATAGCTATCCTCCTGGATATTGGAAGTAGACAAGATTGTCAGGGGTGAGGGTTAGGGGTGTAAGGGGGATGGGGAGAGACAAGGGAGAAGGGGAGGATTGGGGAGAGCTTGGGGAAATGGGATGGTTGGGATAAAGAAAGGGTGGATATGGGAGCAGGGAAGTAGATATCTTAATTAAGGGAGGGATTTTAGGGATGGCAAGAGACTTGACTCTAGAGGGGTTCCCAGGTCCAAAGATGTCCCCAGCTTGTTGTAGGTACCCAGGTCTTTTTCCCTTTTCTTCCTTGGCATTTCGCAGGGCTGTTTGACCTCTGACCCCTGGAGATTCTGCACTAGCACTGGCTTGAGGGTAGCTTAGAAAGAACTTGGCTGTCTTTTTTATGGTAATTCCACCTGTAAACAAGGTTGCAACTGCGGGCCCTACACGCCTCCCACGCCTGCCTCCCCCCCCCCAGCTGATTCTGCCTGAGGCGCT